CAATATAATATCCATGTGTACATTTTTACTATTTTGTTTAAATATAATTTAATTGTGTTTAAATATGTAATAGATGCGAACGTCTGCTTCTTCCCACCTTGGGGTGCTCAGCATGGAGACATAGGGATATATGTTGATATAAAGGTAGTGCTTCCCCTACATACCATAATACTGTAATAGTAACAACAATGGTATTAAGAAAAATAAGGGCTGCTACCGTGGGCAAGATTCATTGTCCCAATGAAAATGGCGGCTCTGGTCAAGTAGCCACAACAGGTACCTACAGCTGCCTGGCTATGTTAGCTCTCGACTTCTTCTGCCAGCAGGAATAGAGTCTTTTGGTTCCCGCCAGTAAAGGGAACAATTTAAATTTTTAAAGTTTAAAGGGAAAAATTAAATCCAGCATTCCAAACCACCAATGCTATATTAATAAGATAGAAAATTTAAAACTGCCGGAGTAATCTGGGGGACAGTGGAGTGCCGCCATACCAAAATGGGGTACAAAAACCAGCTCTGGCCCCTTAGGCAAATGGTTCATCTCTCTGAACTCTTGTTTTCTTCAGCCTCCCTGGCTGTGGCAGGACCAAGTCACAGAATTATATTAAGCACTTTTCATGTGTTTTGCACACATTGTTTAATAAATAGCGCCTATTATAATTACTTTTCACTACCAGAATAATGCAATGGCTATAGTTCTTACTTACTAAAAAAGTACCAAGGATCAATGGTTGCCACAGTCCCGGCATGGGAAGAGGGGAAGACTACTACAAAGGGACTGGGAGAATTTTTTGAGGGTGATAAGACTGTTCTATATTTTGATTATGGTGATGGCTACATGAATGTGTATGTTTGTCGAATCTCATAGAACTGGACACCAACAAGAGCCAATTTTAGGGCACCTGGGTGGCTCAGTTGGTTAAGCCACTGCCTTCGGCTCAGGTCATGATCCTGGAGTCCCGGGATCGAGTCCCGCATCGGGCTCCCTGCTCAGCAGGGGGTCTGCTTCTCCCTCTGACCCTCTTCCCTCTTGTGCTCTCTGTCTCTCATTCTCTCTCTCAAATAAATAAATAAAATCTTTAAAAAAAAAAGAGCAAATTTTACTTTATGCAAATTATATCACCTTTTTAAAAGTACCGACCACAATATTAAGTGTGGTTTTAATTAAAATAAACCATTTAAACTAACGAGCATTTTAACTTCATTCATTTCTAAAATTAAAAGGAAATCTAAGGCCTATAACGCTACTTCACATTTTCAGACCAAGTCTTTAAATTAAAGGCTTGAGCTACTTGTAAAAAATGGATGTCGCCTAAACAATTAAGCAAATTAACTGTTTCAAAAGAAAGCGTGGATTGTACCGAATAATGTGATGAAATGAACTATGGAAAGAGAAAATGAAAGTGATGTTTTCATTTACTAGATTACTTGAGATGACAAACATAATGGCTCCTTCCCTCAAAATTTGGTAATGGGCCTTTGTAAATAATCTAAAAGGGGTAACATTATTTCCAATAAGCAAGGAAAAGTAGAGAAGGCTAGTGATGAATTCCTTGATTTATTTATCTTCTCAATGCATTTATGAAAGATTCTATAGGGTTGCTCACTCTGAATTTTTCATCAACACTGTTACCATAACCAAGAGCTCTTTTAGTACAGATCTGTGCGTCTATTTTGGCAGAAATGTAGTTTTACAACAATTTCTTACTCAACACCATATTTACAAAACAGATGGAGTTCCAAAGAAATCATTTCAAATGAGAAATATAATTCTGGTCAGCCCACGGTGTATTTCTGCATATGTCCTGCATCTCAGCAATAATCCCCTTTCTGTGCCCACTGCTCATCACATATGGGCTGTTATTTCTCCCTCTGACTTGGGGATCCCCACATAAGAGGAATGTCAAGATGGTAATGAAAATGGAAGCTAGGAAACAGGCATAGCTCACAAGCCTGACTTTTCAACTAAAGCAACCCCATCAATACTGGCTAACAACTCCCTGCCATGCCCTTAAGCCCCCAATTATCACCTTGCTTATCCGTCTACTCCCGCCTCTATCTTTCCATCACCTGACTGAATTCATCCCTTATATTGGAAAAGAACATAAGGAAACCAGGGAAAGATGTCACTAGTGCTTTTTCATATGAGCTTCTGTTAAGGTTTTTTTTTTTAACAAAAGTGAAATAGTTTCTGCCTTTCACGTGACAAAAATGTGCATGCACTATTTATTGCTTTATGAAATTTGACATTAAAGATCTCTTTATTCTATCAGAATATTGTCTTCATACTGTTATGTCTATAGAAAATACCACACTAAGTTTCTAAAATCTTGATCCTTCAAGGCACCGATTCACGGGGAAATATACCAAGTTAATTAACCCAGGCTTGATCAACTTTCAACTCTATTTCCACAGTTTCAAAGGGTGTTTAAGAAAATACACATCAACACAAAGGAAAGAAAAAGGAGTAAATCAAGTCATCTTAGGAGGTATAAGAAAATGAACAAGATATGAGACTAGTAAATACCAAACCACCAATTTTAGAAATTAACAGAACTTAAGAGAAAACATGTACTTCTTTCTCATGCCTCCATTCATTCAGGAGCAATCTATTGAGCCCGTACTATGTTCCTGGCAATGTGTATCCAGGGATACAACTCTGAACAAGAAACCACCTGCCTTCATTAGAAAAAAGAAAAATGACAAAGATATCTTTCAAAGTTTCAAAATTCAAAAACCAGTGATTGCTGAATAATTAATGATTTCCCCATGTGCTTCTAGAATCTTCAATGAAGAAATCTACCAACAAGGTCTCAATTCCACATATCAGAAATATTGGCAAATCATCCTTCTTCCCATTCTGAATATAAAATTAAAACAGCTGTTTTAATTAAATAAGTTACACTGTGGATCCCACTATGGACATCAATAAAGCTCGATTAAAAAAAAAAGTGCAAAAACAGGCCCTCCATAAAAACTGGGGAATAAAATTAAAATTAGGTAGGCTAGTATCTTCTCTGGAATTTTCACCTCAAATTCATTAACACCACAATGCGATATCACTACAAGTATCCAGTAGCCAATAAAAACAGACATGACACATAACTCTGTTAACAGGATTGATTATCATGCATAGCTGAAAGCAACTTCCATGGAAACATAAGCTACAGAGTACAAGAAAATATAAGTCACCTTTTAAAAGCCAGGTATGCAGCAAAAATAGGTTACTTTCCTTAAACTCTCAACACCTACTGAAGGTAGTTAATACACTTGATCTTTAAGCCCTTCACTTGTGCCCTTGCCCAGACATAAACTGTACAAACAGATGACAAAGCGAAAAGCAGTTTCACAACTGCCTGTTACAGAGAGTAGGAAGGTGGTATATTTCACTAGATTACTGCAGAAGCTGATAACACCATGAGACACTACAGAGAACTTAGAAGATTTCTGAAGGTCCAATTAAATTTCATATACCACCAGTGTCAATTCTCTTTACTGTGGCCTGTTTTGCCCTCTCTCCCATGGGTTATCAGCCACAGGAAGGGTGGGTGCAGCCCTGTTAATGTGCGTTGCTGCTCACTATCCTGGTAACCCCTTGATTTTCAGAAAGCAATGTTTTCATATTTGCTCTGAACTTAAGCAGAATGAGCTACTCTTGCCTAAGGCTCTGCTCTTCTTAGCTCATCAACTATTTTTGTTTTCACTCCATGTCACGAGAAATATTTTTACATTGCAGACCAAAACGTAGTATTAGAATGAAACCACCACAAACTCAGAGGAGTTCCTAATATTACTTCTTGAGTTTAAAATGCACAAAACAATTGCTGACTTTCTTCTGCTGAGTAACACTATGCAAAAGATAGCAAAACCAAGCAAACTGCTCAAAAGAACTTCCACAGAACTAGGGGCCTGCCTACTGCAGCAAGGAAAAGATTAAATTGTGCAGAACTGTAATGTCTCAGTGCTTTTGAGCCTAAGAAAGCGGAAATCTTCATTTATGTTCCGAAACATACTCCATTCCCCCGTGTGACTGAGTGACCGGAGAGATTTTGCACCCTCTAAGTATAACCATTTGCTAGAGGCAACTAGATACAGATCAGAAGAGACCTATTGAATAAGCTCTGTTCACCACATGTTTTCACAAAACCAGTGTCTTTAACATACAATAGACACCTTACAGGGAGTCTGTTACCAGCCAAGCCTACCCCAGAAGAGCATGTCCTGCCCAACCAGGTACAGGCCATAATTCCAGGCCAGTCCTGGGAAAGATGACAGCCCCAAGTTCAACTGGGAATGTCTGAGCACAGCTCCCCCTGCACATTAGGGATCACCTCTCCATTCTTTCCAAATGCCATTTGCATCCAATGCCTGCTCCAGCACCCCAAGCACCCGTGCACCAGTGGTTCCCGTTAGCAGGGGACTCCTCTTACAACCCCCTCCTTCCTCCACCACTCTCCTCTTGGGAACTGACCCCAGGGGCGGCTGGGGGTGGGCGATGAGCGCCCTTCTCCCACCTACCTTGATGATGCTGCTCCGGCGGGGCAGGCCGCCGGGTTTGCTTTCCCGGGGAAAGGGGCAGGCGGCCGGGCCGGGGGTCGGGGCGAGCGCAGCGCCGCGGGGTCCCCCGGCGGGGCTGGCTCGGGCTTCGTCCCCGGACACGCCGAGGCTGCAATCTCCGTTGGAAACCCCGCCGCTGTCATAGCGCGCCCGCCCGTGGCCGAGGCGACCTCCCCCGCCGCCGCCGCCGCCGCCGCCGCCGCCGCCGCCGCCGCCGCCGCCGCCGCCGCCGCCGCCGCCTTCCTCGGCTCTAGCTTTCTGGGCGCCCTTGGAGCCGAGGGCCGGGCCCGGGGAGGTGGGCAGGGCCCCGCCGGCGGCGCCCCCCCGGCCGCACTCCGCCATGGGCGCCCCACGACCCGCCAGCACAAAGCCGCGTCCCCGCGTCCCCGCGTCCCCGCCGCCGCCTCGGGCCGCCGCGCGCGGCCCCTCCTCCTCTCCTCCTCCCGCCGCCGCCTCCTCGGCCGCTTCTTCCGCTTTTTTTTTTTTTTTTTTTAATTTAGATGTGATGTTTGTTTCGAGCTCGCGTCGCACACGGTTCAAGTCGTGGCGGCAGAATTATCGGAAGATTCCTGCAGGGGAGAGCAGAGAGAGACACAAGTCAGCTCCGGCGGCGGCGGCGGGGCCCGGGCTCCCAGTACCTGGGGAAGGAAAACACGCCCCGGCACACGCGCCGCCGCGGGCGCCAAAAATAACCCGCGCGGGCCCGGCGCCCACCAGGCCACGGGGCACCCACCCCGAGGTACCGCGGCGGCCGCCTCAGGGCCTCGGGGCGCTCTCCCGGGAGACTCAGGACACCCCTCATCCCCGGGAATCCGAGCGCCCATCACGCGGGAACCCGGCGCCCAGCCCCGGGCCGGGGTGCCCACCTCCGGCTCAGGGCGAAGGGAAGCGGCGGGCGCCCGCGGCTCTGCGGCCTCGCGGAGGCGCCTCCCGAGGGTCTTGCAGCCCCAGGCGGGCGGGAGGTGAAGCCGGGTCTCCCTGGACCCCAACTCCCCAGAGGCCGTCGCGTGTCGAGCCCCGCCGCGTACCCCCAGAATCCCCGCTGAGGCCTGCGGCACCGAGAGGAAGCGCACAGCGGGCAGGGGCGGCCGGGCTGTGAGAGTGGCGGCGCGGCCCGGGGCAGCGCCTGAAGGGGGCACCCCAGAACCCCAGCCCCTTGCCCGCGGCTGTCTCCTCCGAGCTCGGCGCTGCCCACTGTAGGCCGCGAGGACCCTCCCGGGCCGCCCCCGACCCACCGCGAGCCGCCCGGGCTCCCACCCGAGGTCGCCGCCGTCGTGGCTGCTCCCGCCGAGGCCGGGTCACGGGGCCGCGGGAACCTCGCTGCCAGCGAGCGGACGACAACCGGCGGCGGCCGCGGGTCCTGGATACCCCGGTTCCCCTAAAGCTGCCACAACTGCCAATCACCCGCCCGGCGCCCGAGGGGCAACGACCGCGCAGGCCGCAGGGTCGGGAGCGTCTGGGGCTCGGGGGCTCGGCCTCTGCGCCTTCCTGCTGCCCCCGGCCCGCGCGCGGGTCTCGTTCGCCTCCCACCCAGCTCGGGAAAAGGCCCTCCGGACGTTCCCCTCTGGGCTTCCCCAGTGGGTCAGACCTATTTCACATACAGAAACCAATTCCGTTCCCCGGGCTCCTGAACTGTGAATTGATTCAACGGTTGCAAGGATGCTGGAACGCGGGCGGGGCCGGGGGCGGGGGCGAGAGGTGAAGAGTAGAGGACCTCAGCAGAGCCTGTTCTGTGCCCTCCGAGTCGCCCTACAGGGATTTATCACCGTCGTGCCTCCCTCCCAGCGTTCTTCCTGATCCCGCCGCCAGGGACGCGGGCTCATGTAGCCCGCTGCCGGTCCCCGCCTTAGGTCAGGCTCATCTTCTGGGGCAGGATCCTACCAGGATCACAGCAGCCAGTCCCTCTTCTCTCCGGTCCTTCCCCATTTTTCTCCTCCCCTAATGCTTCAGGTAGAGTGACCTGCCTAAAAATCAACCCTGATCTTGCCGCTCCCCAGCACAAATATCTCCCCAGGATCTCCATCCCCCGAGCCAGACGGGCTCCAACTCTGCTGGGTGGTACCCGAGGCCCCACCCAGCCTGGCCCCTCCCACCTCCCCATCCCAGGTTCCCCAGCCTCCAGCCTCCAGCGCTTCTCCAGGACGCCAGTTCTAGTCCAGCTCCTGTGTTTGCTTTTCCGAGAATGCACTTCCCAAGGGCACAAAGGATAGTCCGCTGGGGGGTGAACTTAAAGACTTTGCTTTCATTAGCATGATGTTGTAGCAAACTGCCAAGTAGCCTCTGAGGAAATGGGATTTACATACATATACATACCCACCCTCGCCTCTGAAGCAACTTCAAATACCTTCATGTTATTCTTGGGGGCGTTTTAATTCTTCTGATCTTCTGGATTCATGTTTTTGTAACCCATCAGAAAAGCTTTTATTCATCTCTAGCCAATCTGGGCCTACACACTAACAGAAATATTTTCACATCGATGGACCACAATGTTTCAATATTTTATTCAATCCCATCCTTTCTTGTTTGTTTGTTTTCTAGTTTTGGTTCAAAAATTTTTTTTTCTGTCATGATAGTTTTGCAAGAAAATATTATTCAGATAATTCAAATCAGGTTCTTAATCTACTTTATATCAAATATAGTCAGAGTAGCCAGTGAACGAATATGCTGAGGGGGAGGAAAGGAAAAATCCTGGGCCTTTATTCTTCACATTCTCTAATTTTGATATGTTGAGTTAATTGCCTGAAGGTCTCTCTGCCCTTTGCTGCATTTATCAATCACTAGTAACATGCGATGAGACTCCTCTATCTTGCAACTTGTACCATGAGTTTCCCCCGGTGAGTGGGGGGACAAATACAGATTTACACTTCCAGGATGTTTTTTATAAAACCACCATCTAATTCCCCTAATGCTCTCCAAAATGAGCACCTATCCATCTCACTCTGGACTCCCAGCAGGTCAAACCAGGGAGACTTCGTTGAAATAGACTTGGCATTTAAATTAAAACGTTTCCCAAAGCATCTTGGCAGACCTGTAACTAGAGATGCCAGAAGCCCAAGGCCTATGCCAGAAGCCCAAGGCCTGTGCCAGGTTCCTTTTTATCCCCCTAAGTGCTTGTCTCCCACAAGCTGCTGGTCACACGCCTGCTGATGTTAAAGCTGTACTTCCTCATCACACCAACAGCCAGACATTAGGTACCATTTCTTCTATATGGTGATGGGGAGACGCATGTTCCTCTGACATGTGCGCTTCTCAGCTCCCAGCAGGCTTTTTGATAGCGAAACTCAGATTTTTTTCATCACAAACAGCATAGTAAGCAATTTTCTCCTCCTTCCTGCTTGTCTCTCTGCAGTTACTAAGTGATTGCTTTCCATTTCTCCTGTTCCATGAGCAGTGTTATTGAAGAAATTGTAAATATTTTGCCAAAATCTTGCGGAAGTGTTTTCACGGCATTGTAAAATTCATAGAAGTTAGAGTTAGAAATAAGAGCCAAAATATCATAGTCATTCCTCAGCAAATCCTGTCTAATGATTCCTTCAGACAAATTTTCAGAGCGGGGCAATAAGAGATAGGCAAGACACGAATAAAATGCTCATTCTGGATTACTCCCTGGTGCTCATGCCAATTTATTATATCGATATACACATGGTTAGATGTTCATGAGTAATTTTTCCATAACGTTTAAAGCCAATAAATACCTTTAAACTCTCATTATCCTCTTATGCAATACATTGCTTTACAAAGCAATGCATAGCTTTATTTAAGTTTTCTTCATATTTCAGTCCATCTCAGCTTTTAATCATCATTGTCACCCTTACCAATCTATCTTCTATTTGTTTGTCTCTTTAATTTGATGCCTAGAACATAAGCTATTCAGGCTCCCTGGTCCATAATAACCTTCCTTCAGCCTCCCAAAATAACACTGACGCTGTTTACTGACTTCTTGTCGTCATTTATACCCTTGTAGGTTATGAATTCATATCTAGTTTCCAGTTCGCAGGCTCTAACATTACAACTCTAAATTTTTCTGACTCACTGAGCACTTGGCCTTCAGATTATTTTTTCCCCTCAATGTATGATAACAATTTTCATTTCCCAAATCTCAGTCTCATTTATTTCTATATTTCTTCAAAGACGCAGTTCAACCTCTGAGCCTTCATATTCAACTGCTCCCCATATGCTTAATGTGAGAGCTTAAGTAGAGCATAAAGTAGAAGAGCAAAATGCCTTAAGGAAATACCAGATTATATCAATGTATTGGTCAACATTGGCTACCCATTTGCCTCCTGAGTTAAGCCAAACTGTTGATTTTAATCTAGTATGCTCCTAAGGCTTGGATTATGTTTATTTTATCATGATCCTTAATGAGAGATATGTAGCAACTGCTTTTCTTCTTGAGCACCAAAGAGGCAAGTTAGACCTGCCAAAACTTTCATTTTCATACTCTTCCTCTCCTCTGACACTAAAGATCCTTCACCCATTTTCCTTAGCTCCACCTTCTAACAAGTATATGTGGCTGCCAAGAAGCTGGGCACTCAGGGAATTGCATCGATAGTTTCCAGCCATTGAGGAACCACTGAGGAACAATTCATTAAATTGTCCTCAGTGGCTATTGAGCTGGGTGGCACTTTGAGGGAATCTATTAATTACTGAGGATTTGATAAGATTATCCCATCAACAAAAGTGACAATATAATTTGCTCTAAAATTACCATTTCTGGGGATGCCTGGGTGTCTCAGATGGTTAAGCGTCTGCCTTCGGCTCAGGTCATGATCCCAGGGTCCTGGGATCGAGCCCCACATTGGGCTCCCTGGTGGGGAGCCTGCTTCTCCCTCTCCCTCTACTGCTCCCTCCTGCTTGTGCTCTCTCACTCTCTCTGTCAAATAAATAAAATCTTTAAAGGAAAAGAAAATAAAAATTACCATTGCTTTTCATGCTACTTTTGTAAGCTTGCATGTATTTGAATGTATTTCTATTCTTATTTTATTACAGGAATCACCACAAACTCAAATGCCCATAAGGAGCCAGGTGGATAATGTAATGAGTAAAGCTGGAAGAATTTGTTTCATAATAGCATCCCAACTTTTAGTTTTTCATCAGTGACATGTTTGCATATCGAGAACAGAGAAATACTCTTCCTGATTCATCTTTGTTTTTCTCGTTTTAAAAGAGCTTTGGACATAAGAAATATTTCTCTTTCCTCCTAACTCTAAGAAAGATAGTGTGAACTTAATGATAAATAGCAACTGACACTCAGCCAGGTGTGGGACCGCAATATGGAGTGATAAGGACTCAGATAACCTGGTAAGCCATCTTACTGTTGCCATAAGGGAGTCCTGGCTCAATGCTGCCAGGATCATCTTATTTTTCCAGAGAAGCCAAAAATCTGGAATATAAAATTAGCTATTGTATTAGTTCATTCTCTTAAGAGAAGGACACCCATGAAGCGAGGTCTCCCTGTATTGTTCTTTATAAGTCTACAGAGAAGTCTCTTTTTTTCCTATCCTACCTTCTAACTGTATGATGAGCAAAATGTAGCCAATGCTTTCCACATTTTGCCTATTTTGGGGTCTTGTCAAAATGATTTCCAAGGATAGCTTTATTTTAATGAGTTTAAGAAATCTAAGAAACCATATCATTTTCAGCATCCCAATGTGTGACGTATGGCTCCCACCTTACCTCCCTTCATCTACCCATGCCCACCTCCCAACCCCAGAACTATTTCATCTCTGAACTCTGAAACTCAGAAACCCATGTCTAGCCAGAAACTGCCCTTCTGTCAGTCCCTTTCCTTTACTTTCCTGCCTGCCAGCCTTAGCAAAATATGGGCTTCCCCCACCCCCTCCCACTCTCTCGGTCCATCAGTGCTCTTTTCTGTTTTTCTTCCCTTCCCCGGGCCTCAGGACCAAGACATTCAACTACATTCCCATCAGCATCCTAGGCCCTTCACATCACTGTCCTATTGTGCCCATCCTTTCAATCTACAGCTTTGCATACATCCAACCACACCTGCCCCACACTGCCACTCTGTTAGAGAGGAAAAAAAAAAAATCCTATAACCATGCTGACTGGATGAGTGTATGATTTATGTGTTCAGTGGGGCCTTTGGTGCTCTGAGGCGGTATTTTACCCTTTCCTAATTGGCTCCAAGTCTCCATCCTCCAAACTCTCCCAACTGGCCCACTGAGCCCCCATGCCATTGCAGCAATAGTCCTAGAATTCTATTTCACACGCACAATAAAATACATCAGAAAATTATTTGCTTTAACTTCCCCTCCATGCTATTTAGCCTTACCTCACCCATCACCCCTGCATCTTAAGCTAACCCCAAATCAGAAACCATGTATGACTGTCTTCTTTGATCATTGGACTCTTCCGTTGTGGTGTGTCTTTTTCTTTTGGGACCAAAGGATTTCATAACCCTTCTTTGGGTGAAGGGGAAGTGGGGTCTTCAATCTCAATGTCAATCAAACAAGGACAAAAATCAAGGGTTTTAAAGGCAGCCTTAGATCAAAGAGAGAGGAAATTTCTTCCTCCTAGGCCACGTTTCTCCTCATGGGCCTGGTGTGTCAAGTCTTCATGGGAGCTCCAGGGAAGTAAGGAGGAGAATAAGACCTCCAAGGGCCAGGAGGAGAAGTCTACCTTCATCAGAAACCCCACAAGGCTAGGCCTGTGGACTCGAAGGAGAAGAAGATTGTGTGACCAGTTTCAAGTTGCTCTTTGTGGTATAATTCCCCCACGCTGTAAGTAGGGAGAGGTTAGGTATTAAAGCTCCACTCCATTGTACTATATTACTACCTTCCTTCTATATGAATATATTCTAGATATACCTTCCTAGTAATTTTTCAGTTACCAACGTATTGTAACTGGTTTCCTTCCTCTTCCACTGAAACTGCCCTCCCAGAGGTCATGGTTGACACCTTAATTAA